ATTGTAAGCCTGGATATTGGAAGATTCTGGAATTGTTTATAGTAGTAGTCATAGCAACCGCGGATGATAACACGAAATAGAACTATAAAGAAAAATGTCGGAAAGAGGAATTTCTCTCAAAGAAGCTTTAAAGAAATGGGAAGAAAAACATAAACAAAAGGCTTCGGAAGCAACGGTCATCCATCTTTACGGACACATTCCTTCCATAGAGAAGTTAGATGCCAGCGCATCCACTTTAGTTAAATGCGAAAAATTATCCTTATCAACCAACTGTATCGAAAAACTTAGTAATTTAGTAGGATTAAAAAATCTTAGGATTCTCTCCGTAGGAAGAAACAGAATAAAGTCTCTATCCGGAATTGAAGCGCTTTCGGAATCTCTAGAAGAACTTTGGGCTTCCTACAATCAGATCGACAAATTGAAAGGGATCGAAGCATTGAAGAAATTGACAGTGCTTTATATGTCCAATAACAAAATCAAAGAGTGGAACGAAATTTTGAAATTAGCGGAGCTTCCCTATCTGGAACACATCGTTTTGGTTGGGAATCCTCTGGAGCAGCAATTGAGCCGAACCGACGAATGGAGGAGCAAGATGGCTCGAACTCTCAGACCTGCTTTGAAAATTCTAGATGGAAAGGCACTGGGCAGAACTGAAGAAGATTAATCAAATCGTTCGATTATTTGTTTAGTACATACTGTATTTCCTTCGATTGTAAATAAATAAATTTAAAATACATTTTGAATGATTTTAAAAATAAAACTAATTGGCAGAATGTTTTAATCTATTGAATTCTGAAAATGTGAATAGAAAGAAAAGCTTTTAACGTACATAATTAAAATTTATTATTTTGTCAAGCGTAGAATTCGAAAAATTAATAAATTATAATGGGTATAGTGGCTTTATATAGCCGCATTAAAGCTAGGCACGGGCCCAGCTTTAATCATTTCTTTTTTTTTAATTGCTATTATAAATGAATTACAAATAATTTTAGAAATTTTTATAAATAAAATTTTTTGCAATTCTTAAATGCAAAATTTGAATTATTTTTTAAATATGCATTTCCCGCCATCTAGTGTTACTTATTAGAAATAACGATACGACATGAGGAGACAGTGGAATGAATTAGAAGTAGGTGAGTCTAATGAAAACTTGGTTCCCGTGTCGTAATCAGATATGACTATTATATATATATATAAATGGAAATATTAGATATTAATTAATAAATAGAGACCAGGGTTAAACTTTACCTACGTTCTAGCCTAACCTATAAACTGAGCTGTCCAGGTTAACTATCAATTTTGTCCGGGTATTTCGTGCTCAACCTATCGATTTTTCTTTTTGCTTGTATGATTGGTACACGTCTCCAATCTCCAATAGAGCTAAGTCATCTGTACTTCTTCTTTCTTAATTTAGGTTACGTTAATCCTATCCAAGTCTCCCCAGTCCCTAACTGTAACTGATTTAGCACGTTATTCTTCTCATTGCAAGATGACACTGCACATGCATCAGGAACTTCTGTTTGAACTAACCTCACCTGCCCACCGGGTTAGCGATTTTGAAAGGTGGCAACACTACCTATAAATTATCAATTATATGGTAATTTATTAGGTTAGGCTAGGTTAGAACGTGGGTCCCCACTGTGTGGCGTGACGGTGCATGTAGTAAAGTTTAACCGAGACCAGAAATATAAGTGGTCTTTTTTAAGTAATACCCCAACATTTTCTTTCTTACTTTTTTTTTTTAGTTATTAATAATGGTTACCATAGAGATATCACATAATATGGTCGACCCCCCCCCATAATGCTGTAGATACATTCCACTCTATAAGAATTTCACGTTGTAGGAATCCTTAAATACATGAGCCAATCGCAGCCCCGCACGTGTGCAATTTACGGACTACGGCTGTTTGAAAGGTTTTCTTCCATAAAATTAATTGATTCTAGACTAATTCGACTCAACATTTCTAAAACACGTATAATTTTTTGGGAATAATCCGTATAAACTATGCTATAAACAAAAAAATTGTAGGATTATTTACCGAGTGTGCACCGTTCGACGACGCCATTGCTTAAGCTTGTTTTCGTTGTGGAACAGCATGCTGAATGGCGGGTGCGTTTTCTGATAAGTTATTTTTCTGCGAAAAATTTGCTGAACTTTGGAGACATCATTAATAGAAATAATTTTTATGGCCGTTGAATAAGAAATGTTTTTTTCACAAGAAATGTATAAAATTACAGTACTGTATTAGACTTACGGTACCTAATTTATATACCGTACAGACGATAGTAAACTCAACTTACCCGCCTAAACTCTCCGTAACGTGTAAGTAGTTTGGCTGCTCGTCCACTATTGGTCCAGATTTGACCAATCCTCTCGCGACACGAGTCGGCGATGACGCTTTACTGCATTTTACGAGTCTCTTTTAGCGTCTTTATACGAATACGGTCACAATTTTTTCGCCACGATATACGAATCCGCATTATATGAACCCGCATTATAGGGGGTCAACTGTAGTTTTTGTATCGGTACATTTACACTTAATTTACATTGACACAGCAGTGCAGTGCTCTTATAAGCCAAAACAAGCTGACCCACATAAAAGTGTGCTCTGGTAAGCAAAGCTGCGTGCATTTCAAAAACTCAAAAACAGTTGATTTTCATACATTAGAGAATGTTCTTTGTGCATAAATAACATATAGCCTATACCGACGATTTTCAAACTTTTTTTGGCCACCGCCACCTTAGTTTCGTAAAAGTGTGCCCAATGCCCCTAACCATTTTCCCTTGGAGTGAGAAAGGCTTGGAAATATTCTTAAGAAAACTTTTCTATGAATCTCACACTGTGTCGACATCTGGAAATCATTAAATGCAAATCTTTTTCCTTACGTATTATAATAGAGTAAAGAGAAGGGTTGTCAGTGACCCCGACTGTCGCTTACGGTCGCTGTTCCGTCGGTACCTTGCCTCCGGTTTTTCCCTGCCGCACACTTATGTCTTTTTACCCCTCTAGATTTACTTCGTTTCCTGTTGGCCTATACGGTAGAATCTCATTTTATGGGATTGCAAAACAATAAATTTTTTCACCGTATCCTGTCGAGTCAATGTAATTTTACCTTCTTTTGACAGATCTGTAACTCAAAATAATAGATTTTTTTCTAGCCTCATCTACTGTAAAAATTGTGTTTGTTTTAACGTTTAATTAATATTTGTTTGTTGTTTAAAACAATAAATTATTAATATTTGAATATTTCTTTGATAGAAACATGGCAGGAAGCAGATTAGAAAAACTCGGAACTATATTTTCAAGGTAAATTTAATTTGAGTATACTAAAAATTACTGTTTAATAATAACCCTGGTATTCTGTTATAGACTATATAAATTTAAAATAACTGGATTTTTATTAATTAATGTAAACTGTATTAGAATGACTGGTTTACTCCGTTCTGGAGCTCTTAAAAAGGAAGATAAGCCAACTTGGTATGATATTTATAAAGCATTTCCTCCTCTGATCGAACCAATTTTTAAAAGAGAGGTATCTGAGAAGGAAATTACTCAGATTTTCTATCCTGAAGATGTTTACAGAGCGTAAGTTAACATAAACTTTAGTCTAATTTTTAAAACTGAATAATTCAAAATTATTTATTTTATGTAGGAAATTTTACAGAAAATATGGTTCTGATATTATTGACATGGCTGATACATCACCAACACTGTCTGAACAGTAAGTTCTTTTCTGTCTTTTTTATAATAAACAGAGAGAATTTTGATGTTGCAGAAAGTTTATGAAATATTAATTTTTATTATGTTTCAAATAATTTTCAGTTAAAATTAGGAATAAATCTATATATATATAAAATTACATATCCTGACTGAGTGACTGATTCATCATCTCCCAGAGCAAACTGCTGAACCTAAAAAGATAAAATTTGGTACACAATTATGGTTCGGCATGAAAATGCACACTAAGAAGGGATTTTTCAAAATTCCCCCTGCAGGGAAGAGAGAGAGGATTAAAGCTTAACCTGAGGAACAGCTTCTACTGTACTATTTTAGAAGTGATTTTTTTTTGTTTTTGATAGTAATAACTTAATTTCCAAACATACAGTATTTACCAAATCATCCAAATCATTTGCCAGAGCACTGCCAGGCTCATTTGCTGGTTATTATATATATATATAAACTGAAAATTGGATAATACCAGATCGTCAAATGAAAATTTTATTTTTATAACCATTTAAAAGGGGTTTTTTTAACGAATAAACCGAAATGTTATGTCTTTTGAATCTGATGCTCACGTGAGTTCAAGAATTATTCAGAAAATGATCAATTATCAGATATTTTATTTAAATGCATTTTGGATCATAATTCTCACTGATCTCTCCTCAGTCTGTACAATACAAAATAATTTTATTGTTTTGTAATNAATAGATTAAAATATTCTACAAACAGAAAATCTAGTATATATTTTTAAAATTTATATCTTAACTATGCTTACGATTAATATATTTTATAATTTTGTCAGTAATCTGCCTGAAAACTATACTGTTGTGAAATCTTTGAGGTATCTTGTTTTTAGTTATGGCAATTTTTTTTCAAATTGAGTTCATATTTTTACTTTTCCAGCTATTATATATATAACACAGGAAAATATTAGGATCATGTCAAATTTGACACACTTAGTTTTTTGCAAATTTCCATGTTTTAAGACCTGAATCAAGAAAAGTAAAAAAAATTTTGTGGTTGTGTGTATATGCATATTGGCATCTATTTTGCTTAATTTCTCAGGATGGGTAAAGATTAAGAAACGAAATTTGGCATGGTAGTTTATGTATGAGGAGCATTTGTAATGCTATTAAATTTTGGTGGTTAAAGGTCAAGAGGATGTCATGTGTCATATCTCAAGAGAGGTAGGACTTAAAGATTTTATTTGTTATTAACATTTGCACTTTTTTATAAAACTCATATCTACCCTCAAAATTAAGCATTTTTCCATTGTATAGTAATTAAGAATATAAAAAGTTTTTATAACAAAATCTTATAACAGATGGTGTCTCTCACTAATTTTTTTGCTTAATAATATAAAAGGTATTTTTTTTAATTAAAAAATAGCTGAGAACTTGTTGCTGAATTTTCTTTATATTCTATTAGTTCATAGTTTTTTATAGTGTCAATCATTATGCAAAATATACTAAAATTGTACAGATAGATATCAAATGTTTTGTTAATACAGTAGAGCGTCGTTTATCCGAAAGTCAGTTATCCAAAAGCATTCCAGTTAACAAATTTAAATTTTTGCTAGTGCTGTGGCGCTGCAATCTTTGGCTATATCTTGGCCTACTTTAATATTTTTTTTTTTGTTAATGTGTGTGTTTTAGCTGGCAACACTGGAACTTTTGTGTGGTGTTTTTCTGAGGACTGTGTGTCATGCTGAATCGAACGTTTTTGATACTAGATTAACTTCTAAAGTATATTTTTCAATATATTTATTTTGTTTGTACAAAATAAAAAAATAATTTTTAACGATACAATAGCCACGATTATTATTTTAAAAAGTTTTCGTTAAGCTTAACATCGACGAAAATTCAACGCGAAGCGACATGCAACAGAGAAAAATTTCAACATGGGACAGGTTAATATATTTTTTCGTATATAATCGGTTATCCAAACAACCCCAGTCCCCAATTAATTTGGATAAATGACACTCTACTGTACTCATTAAAACTACTCTGTTAATATTGGCTGTCATATCTCATTTATAATTTGTTTCATTATTTTCTAAAAAACATTTTATTTTCTGAAAATAAAAATTCCAAATTTTGAGATAAAAAATTTCTAAATATTTTTTACAATGAATTATAATTTATTTATATGTATGTGAGGAATTTTCTAATATAATCATTTAATTATTAACTTACCTATACAATTGTTTACTAATTCCCCATTCTTTTGATGAAGCTGAGATAATAATCTCTCCACTGTTATGAACTACATTACCTGTTACATAACGACTAGATTTCTTTAATTCCAACCTGAAATATTTATTTAGAATTATTATTTTAAAAAGAATTTAAACATTTTTAAATATATTCTGCAACATTAAAAAAATTAAAATAAAAAAATGTTTATATTATAAATATTATTCTAAAGAAAACATAAGAATTTTAAATCATTCAAAACATATATAAAGTTAAAATATTTCATTACTTATGCCAATAGGATTTGTTTATCATTTCAAGCCCATATCCTGAAGGTTTACGTGCAAGAAACATCTGTTCCAGATTTCTTGGATTTCTGTTAACAAATTCTTCACAAAAAACATCATTTTCACTGAGCGGTTCTTCTGGAACAACCTTACTTTTTTCTAAAATAAAAAAAGTAAATATATTTATAACTATTCCATTCCAGGTTAATTAATTTTAATTAACGGCACGTCTATAATCATATTTTTTTAACTTAGAATAGCAAAGATATTGTACATGACAGATAAATGTAAAATATTGCTCAATTATACAGCTTTATTAAACTGTTGTATCTTAGGAAAACAAATCTAAATCCAGCTTTGCATACAGGCATGCATGCAAAGCTGTCAAAAGCTCATATCAGGTCCAGGGATACAGTAAAACTCTCTTGTTTATTTATTTTTTTTCAATAAATGATATACATAGAATAGTTCTTTATTATTAAAAAGAAGTCTTAAATATTTTATTTTCAGTTAGTAAAAATAACATTAATTTTATAGGGGGTAGGAACCACTACAGATCCCTAAGCTAGGGGAAAAATCCTCAACTCTCTCTCTCTCTCAATGGCCCTGCATGCACAACTTGATACCATTCATTAAACCTGTCTATTGACAATAGTTGCATTTTGCCTAGTAAAGCAACTTTAATATACAGTTTAATCCGATTATAACGTCATCGGATGTAACGACAACCCTCACATAACGTCAAATTTTTATCGTTCCACAATTTTACTATACTAGATAATGTTAAAAAACCCACTTGTAACAACATAAAACCCTGTTTTAACATCATATTTGAAGCACTCCCGAATTTATAAAATCAAATTACAGTGGGTGATCGGTTAACGAACATAATCCGTTCCAAGACTTTGTTCGCTATCCGAATTGTTCGTTAACCGATTATCGATTTACCATAGGTTTCTATGGGAATTTGATTACTTGGTTCTGGAGACCCCCCAAAATAAAAAAATATATACTTTCTTACTACCTTTATTTATATGTATTGATGATAATAAAAATACATACATACATAGTCTTGCGTTTTTATTAGTCGTGTTTTTTTTCTGTTTGAAAGGGTTAAAGAATCTGTCTAATGTCGATTGCTTTTCTCTCTTCTTCAGGATTTTTCGTAAGTAATTAATAGCATTGCAATTGCAGAAATCCCCAAGCCTTAACCTGGTTTGGATGCCATTCTAAGACCGTTGTTCTGACATCCTCCCACTTCTTCAAAGGATCTTTAATATAAGATAT